TGTGGCTTCTGCTGCAAAGCCATCTTTGGAGGTTCTCTGCACCCTGGAGGGTGCAGGGCCTGGGGCTCGGAGGAAGGGAATGTAGTGACCCCANTCTCTGCACCCTGGAGGGTGCAGGGCCTGGGGCTCGGAGGAAGGGAATGTAGCGACCCCAGGTTCAGGCCCCGGGCGAAGCCCTTCCTGTTAAGCTCTGCCATGCCACTGCCTTCCCACTACCCACCCGCCTTCCACCTTTCTGATACGCAGTCCCTCAAGTCCAGAAAGTGTGTAAGGCTGCAGTCCCCAGGGTGCGGGGAAGGCATCTCTCAGCAAGGCCTGCCCGCAGTGGCGCGGGCTGCCCAGGATGCAGGCCAGGCTGCTTTGTACAGTGTGCTGGGAGAGGAGAGCTCGCCAGGAATTTCCTGGGGCAGCTCCAGGGCAGACTGCTTAGATGGAAGGGTTTCGGGGTGGCCGGGTCCTGCCTCCCAGCCTTTGCTTCCCTGGCTGGCCAATCCCAGCCCTGTGCATTCCTGGGATCTCTAAGTTGTACTGGGTTCTGTGGGTACCAGGAGTTTCCTTTGAAACCCGTGGCACCAACATCTGTTAGCTCTTAGAGCACAGAAAGATTGACAGAGAACTGCTGGGGCAGGCGGCGGGGGAAGATATTAAGCTCAGGAGTATGAAGTCGCAGAGACAAAGAGGAAAAACCCCAACTGAACTCCAGCCCGCTCCCCAAGGCCCTGCTTTGATGTGGTTTCCTGTCCCCGGAGGCCTTATAAGGCACTGTGCCTGCGATTCTGGGCTCCGGCTGGTGCTGGCTGCACAGGGCGCCCAGAGGAGCTGGCGTCTCTTCCTGGGGCCCCTGTGGGGCAGAGGAGGGCAGTGCTGGGATTCTGGAGGGAGATAGGTCTTGGCCCTGGGGCCTGAGAGGCCACCAAGCCCGGCCATTGGGCAGGGGGCAGCCTGGCACCAGGCTGGTGGGTCAGGAGGTCTGGGGATCCAGGAGGCCTTTGAGGAGAACTTGGAGCAGAGGCTGAGGCCCACTGTCCAGGGGACCTGGGAGCAGGGGGTGGGCAAAGTGATGGCTTCTTACGGGGTGGTGGTGAAGGGTGTGGGCTCTGGAGCCAGATGGCTCGCCTTCAGTCCTGGCTCTGGAACTGGTTGAGTGACCTTGGACGAGTCATTAACCCCTGTGCCTTAGTTTTCTCATCTGTAAAGTGGGGACAGTAATGGTACTAGATCAAAGGATTGCCATGAGGACTAAATGCGAAGCCCTATGAAGAGCGTGCCAGGCCCTGGCTGGTGTGGCTCCGTGGTTAGAGCATTGGCCTGCACACCAAAGCGTTGAGGGTTCGATTCCCGGTCAAGGGCACGTACTTGGGTTGTGGGTTTGCTTCCCATCCCTGGTCTGGGCACATGTGGGAGGCAACCAATCGAAGTGTTTCTCTCTCACATCAGTGTTTCTCCCCCCTCCCTCCCTCTCTCCCTTCTTCCCTCTCTCCCACTCTCTGAAAAGCAATGGAAAAAATATCTTCTGGTGAGGATTAATAAAAAACATATATATTAAAAAAAGAAGACGAGTGTGCCAGGCTGGGAGCGCGTTTCTAGGTGACCGTGGGTGCCTTGGCTCTGGCGAGCCTTTCCGCTTCTCCCAGGAATGGTCTGGTGGCCATCTGACAATAAGCGTAGGAGTAATAAGCAATAACCACTGACCTCTTGGGCCCCAGGCATGGTATCAGGCACAGTGCTGAGCACTTGATATTCAGTGGCTTACGTCATCCTCACACGCACCCGAGACATCGTGAGGGCTGCCCTCCCTGTGCACACATTGAGATAAAGTTCCTTCACCCAGAGGGCCCAGCTTGTGCCAGGCAGAAATGGGATTTGAACTGTGGTCTCGCCAACTCCAGTTCCATGCCCTGCACCTCCTGCACCGTGGCTCCCAGTAGGGCTCCTTTCTGGCAAGAGGCCCGAGTGCCTTCCTGCACAGTGGTCCTGAGGACCTGGCAGGGGACCTTGCATGCAGGGCTCTCGCCCAGGGCTCTGCCGTGTCCCGTACCTCATGGGTAAAGGCTGTGTGGACCTTTGAGACCCTTTGGACAGATGGGTCTACTTGGCCACTGACCCACAGGAGCTGCTGGCTGGGCTGGTTTTCTTGCACTTCTTTAAGTGCGATCCTTGGTCCCTGGCAAGTGCCAGGGCTCTGAGCCACCTCTGTCCCTGTGCCCACAGGAGCCCTGATTTCACTGTACATGCTCCGGTGGGGCATCAAAGGAGCTGGCTTGAGTCGTGGCCCTGCCCCTGCCCCTCATCGGCTGGTGCTCCAGAGCCAGGCACCGGGCCTCTTGGAGCCTCCTCCTCATTTAAACACAGGGCCAGTGGGAACCCCTTGATATGGAGGTTCTGGGGAGGGCTCTTTGCACTTGGTAAGTGGTGTGAGTGGCTGCCATTATTTCCGGTCTCATATGCTCCTTGAGGGCAGAGGGCGCTTTCTTTGTAGGAAAAAACCTAGTATCAATTATACCTGTCACTTCATAATTTGCAAATCATTTTTAAGCGCATTTATTCCTTGAGAGATGGAAAGAGGCGGGCCATTGTGATGCTTAAAGGACTTACTCTCTCTATAAGGTGCCTAGCACGGTGTCTGGCACATAAGAAATGCACAGGCATTGTCAGCTGTCATATTATTGTTGAGGCTTATCACTGTGCCCATTTAATAGGTAGGCAGACTGAGGACCACGGGACTGCACTGCACTTCCCTGGGCCATCTGGCTCAGTGGATGAGTTTTTGCCGTAGTTAAGTATCTGCAGTGTGTCAGCAGACCATGGCGCTGAGGAGCTTTCGAAGTGTTATACAGAGCAGAGCGTGGTTTAGCAGGAAGAACTTGCCAGAACTCTGCTTTAATACATCAGAGAGCATGGTCCTCCCAGCAGACAGTTCTCAGAGAGCATTGAAGCCATCATCAGAGGATGCTGTGGGTGCGTTCTACACCTCGCAAGGCATTGTTACAGGGTCCCAGACAACTGCTTTGTTGATGGTGACACCTGGAGTCTTTCAGCTCCTCCAAGTGTGCCACTAAAAGACACGCGTGCTCCAGAGCCTTTGTCTCGCGGATCCCGTCGGCCATGCAGGGAGCGGTCAGGGTGGCGGCTGGGGTCAGCACCGAGCCCCGCACTCCGGAGGACCTCAGCATGCAGAGGTCTGTGGTTCCCTTGAAGACAGTCCCCGGCTCCTGTGACAAAGTACCACCGCCTGCCAGCCTCTCTGTGGAGGCGGCATCCGTCTTCCCCTGGCATGAAAGATCGGCTCTAATTGGCTGCTGGGGCGTGCCAGCCACCTAATGATACCACCTGAGTGTGTCCCTTTCCTGTCACTGTTTCCCAGGTCCCCCGTCAACTCTGGCTGTGTTAACACAAACAGCCAGTTTACAAGCCCCGGAAATGTTTGGTGATTATAATAATTGGCGGAGGAGGGGAGGGGAGCCATCCGGACTGAGGAATCATGTGGCCTGGTTTTGAATCGGTGGGACACCTAGGGTCTGAATGGCCACCTTGTAACAACCTTTGAGAAAAAGACTGCAATGCCCTGAACGATTTTAAAGAAGAGAACAGAGAAGACCAACCCCGAATTCCCAAGCGTTAGCTGCTTATCTTTAAAACAAAACAAAATGAAATGAAATAGGAGAGTTACCCCCAGCTATGTCCAATTGGTCAGGTGGACTATACAAAGCAATTTTAATTTAATTTTTCTCTTAAGACGTGCACTGGGTTTTCTTTTAAGCATCAGAGGAGCAGGATTCCCCCAGCTTTTCAAGGAGAGGGTGCTTTTTCTTTCCCTTTTCACTTATTTTTTCTTCCAGAAAGGGTAGCTGGTGATAGCTGCTGAGTTTGGGCTTTTTTATCGCTTGCCATTTTGTGGTTGGAGAAGTGCTGCCACAGTGTAATTGTGGGCATCGGGAGCGATAAGGCCGTGTAATCCTCCCAAACTCACTGCTTCCTACATAAAGGAGCATTTCTCAAAGCGGGTGCCTTGGAACACAAATCCCACGTCATGCTTTGGAAAAATAAAACTAGTCTAATGAGGTTCGAGCTACCACATTATTTGGGTACTCACAGTGTCCATTGCCATAGTAAGGGACCTTGTTTAACTTTGTTTAAAATAATCTTTTTTGATCACAGAACTCTTCTTGGCAGAAAATCAATAAATACAGAAGATAGTTTGACAACTAGCTTTAGCCTTTTGTCTGGAGTTATCCTGCTGGGCTGGGGTCAGAGAGATGGGACCTTTGTGGACATTCCAGAAATTTCCCAGCCTGTGGACTAACCAAGCTCCCTGGGCCAGCCTGACAGCCCCCTCGGGGCAGCCTGATCCAGCTGAGGGGGAACAGCTCTGCCCTCTGGGATGAGCTACTTGCCACCTTTAACCCACGCGAAGGGACCAGGCAAGGCATGTGCAGGGAGGCGTGTGTGTCGGGAGATGTGGGAGGTGTGATGGAAGTCAGAGCACAGAGGGTCCTAAATGTCATGCTGAGGAGTTAGGGTTTATGTTAAGGGTGGTAGGAGCCCACCCTGGGGCACACGGGCCTCTATGAACCACCTAGACGGCCAGCCTCCATGGAGGAAGGATCCACATTGAGATCTCTTCTTGAGCCCACAGGGCAGGCTCCTTGGTCCGCCTGGAGGGATAGATGAGGGGCATTTTCTGATCTGGTCTTTGTCTTTTCCTGGGGTGGAGGGTGGAACTCTCTTTCTGAGGGAGCAGTGTGTCCCGTGTTGTTTTGTGGTGGGCTATGGGCCAAGAAAATCACTTCCTAAACAGCAGTGCGATGATCAGTTCTTCAGGTGTGATGGGATTGTCCTCGGTGGGCCCGGATTCCCACCAGAACAGTCCGAACAGGGTCCCTACCTCCTCGTGACCAGCCAGGCACATGCTCGCGACGCCACCTTTTCTGTCCCCGTGCCAGGTGCCTACCTGACCCCGAGATGTCCTTCATACCCCTCCCTGTCTTGTCTTCCTCCAGGAGCTCGTGGGTGAGGTTTTCAGAGAAACGCTCAGCGAGGATGAAGAGGAAGACTTTCGACTGGAAGGTACTACAATCCATTACTTTCTTCCCAGAGGGCAGTGAAGTGGGGAAGGGGCCATCTGGTCTACCACATGCCCTGCAGACCCTCCAGAAAATCTGCAGTCCAGCTAGAGGGCAGGACTCGGGGTGGGGGCCGGGGGAGCTGAGGAGCAAGAGGGGAGTGTGGCTTCCATAGTCCAGGCCCAGAGTGGAGCCAGACCACGTGGGTTCACCTGCCGGCCCTGCTCTGTCAGCTGTGGGACCTTGACAGGTTGTTTGACCTCAGCTGCTCCGTGGCGAGGTGACCACAGTGGCTCCTCATGGGCCCCTCACGCAGTGTCAGGCATGCAGTGAGCACTCCCTGCGATAGCGATTATGTTTCCCATTTCTCCATTCATTCACCCACCTGGAGCACACGCGTGCACACACCCACCCGCCAGCCCTCACCTCCCTCCTCTTAGTGGGCACGCCTTCTTTCTTCAAGGGGAAGCACCGTGCTGAAGGAAGAATTAGGACACTAGAGGAGAGGGCCACCGCCGCCACTGGCACACTAACTTGACTCTGGCCAAGCAAGGGACCTTTCTGAGCCTTTGGCTCCACATTTGTAGCAAAGCAAAGAGGGCCTTTCCCTGCCTGGCTTCCTGAGTTGGTGCAAGGAACAATGGCACCTACCGGTGTTTGCTAAACGGGATTGCATTTCCACTTTCTACTCTGACTCAGAGGAGAGAGTTGCTGAACTGCTGCCTCCTTACAGCAGTGAGGCCCTCTGTGCTGGGGAGGGACAGGCAGCTGGCAGGAGAGCTGGGGGCCCAGGGGTCTCTGGGGAGAATCTAGGCCTTGGGAGGAGAGCAGACAGCCCCAGCAGGTTCTCGAGGGGAACTGTGGCCACATGTGGCCTGAGAGCCGTTATAAAGGTAGACCCTCAGGCCTGCGAGTCCAGTCTGCACTTTCATGGGCTCCTAGGCGACCTGTATGCACACTGCACTGTGAGAAGCACTGTTTTAGGAGAGTCATTCAAGTGTGTAGGAGGCAGGCTGGGGACCCAGGTATGTAGCGAGCTTTGCTCACTCAAGAGCAGGTCTTCAGTCAAGGGGGAGGCCCCATGGACAGACAGTTTTGTCCAGACTGTGGGTGTTTTCCTTGACCATGGAGGCCTGTGGATCTGGTGGCTGCACTCAGGGGCTCCCCAAGTCTCAGTGGTCACCCTGACTCCATGGACAGATGCCAGGATTTGGTGCTTAGAGGAGATCTGGGGAGTCAGATAAAGGTCTGCAGGATGTAGGCCTGGGACTTAGGTTGACCCCAGACACTAATCTAACACTTTTTTCATTTATCTGTTCATTTACCCATTCACATGGGAACTTACTAGCAAGTTCATTCTCTGGTACATCCACTTCTCCACCTGTCATTCGCTTACTATCCATCCAACCACCCACTTGTCCACTCATCTATGTATCTATCCACCCATCTCTCACTCATCCCATCACCCACCCAGCCACTAACCCATGACTCACCCATAGCCCACCCATCCAGCACTCACCCAGCCACCACCAGCCAGCCCTTATCCATCACCCACCACCCATAACCCATCCTCTGCCCATGTAGTCATCATCCATCGCTCTTCCCTTAACCCACTTAACCCCCCAGCTATCACCCATCTGTCTCTCCATCTGTTTTTCCAGCTACCCATTGTTTATTTCCTCCTGGGTTAATGTCCAAAATGAGGCACTTCTCTGCCCATTGAGGCGCAGTCTGAAATCATGCAACTGATTTCAAATGAGTTGTCTTTCCCCCTACAGCCAGACAGGAAACGGCCGCCCATGGAACCCACCTCCCTCTACAAGGGGGGTGACTTTGGTCAGCACGAGCCCTGATGTAGTATAGCAGAAGGGGCACTGGCCCAGGAGCCCATCGATTAGGCTCCCTCCCAGCTCCGGCAGTGACCTGCTGTGGATCTGGGCCCAGTCCCTCTCTCAGGGCCCCCTCCCCCTCTGTAATGATGAGTGGGGACTGGTGGGTGCTCAGAGGATGGGGGCACTTTTCAGGGAGGATGAACTGCAGTGGGGTCGGTACTTACAATGTTGGGCACCTAGGAGGTGCCCGAGGGTCCCAGCTCCTGTCTAGGACAGGGTATGAATTTGGGGGCACTTGGTCTGACCTCATAGCCCACTAGCTGCTTGTCAGGCTTCCAGGGCAGTCTGGGCGCCTTGCCAGCCATGGAGGGTTTTCAGGCACGTTGGTGCCACCATTGATGAGCAGGGGGTTGGGAGCCCCTCACCTGCTTCGGTTTCCCATCTGGGGGTTGGACTAGGTTTTCGGTGGTCAAGTTGCCCAGCCCCTTTCTTCAACAAAAGCTTACTCAGAGGCATACAACGTAAAGCGGCTAGAGCAGGTTGCAGAAGACATCCTGTTATAGACAGCGTGTTATCTTTTCTGTAGCAGAGGGCACCAGACACTACTGTTTCCTTGTTCATGTGTGCATCTGCCACATATGTGTGTTGTTGTGTAGCCAGAGGCCTAGGCAGGCAAACACAGTCTCTCCTGAGTACAGGAGGAGAAGCCTCAAACTGGAAGGAATGGTCCAAGAGGACTGTCGTGTTACCTGTAATTAATGTTTTAACTTTTACAAGAACATAATCATATATCTCTTGTGAAATGAAAGACTAATGACAGAATTAAAAAGTGAAAACAATAGGTAAATAAAGCAGTAAGAGTGGCAGCTCTGGCTTGTACCTGGCCTGCCTGGTAGAAGGCTGGGCCCAGTGACCAGCTGTGGCTCTCTGGCTGCCCACCCCAGGATGGGGGATGTGGCTGTGACCAGAAGGCCACCCCACTTGCTGGGCTGGTGAGCACAGGTGCTGTGAGTCCTGGCCTTGGAGAAGCGTCCACCTGGCCTGGAGGGGCTGGGGGTGGGGGCTCTGGGTGTCCCTCTGAGCGCCGGCCAGGGAGAGCAAGCTGAATCCTGAATCTCTTCTTTGTCTTCCTCTTGGCCAAGTTCATTGCCTCTTGGCGGGCTGGAGGGCTGTTTAAGGGGGGAAAAAAGGCCATCTGAGGCGTGAAGATAAAAAGAAGTCTTTTAGCCATCCCAGGAGAGCGTGGCTTTAGCTCCTGCGTTGTTATGTAAAGCCGGCCCTAATCCAGCGTCTTACCCGTCTTAACTGGCCAGCTGGGGGCACAGGGAAGGGGATTAGGGCTGGGCTGTGCGGGCAGGGCTGCTGAGCTCCTTTTGAACTGTGGGGAGAACAGTAAACATCAGAAGTCCCAAGCTCCGAGCTGGCTGGGCGTGGTGGGGGTGGGCACGGGGCTGGAGTGGGGAACAGGGGAGTGGAACCCTCCCTCTGCTGACCTGGCCAGGGCAAGGTCAGCCCCACGCCTCACCCCAGCACCCACGGACTTCCCAGCCTCCCCAGTGGGACAGACTGTGGCTTGTGACCTGAGGTGAAAATCAGTGCCAGGGCTGTTGGCAGACTCGTCACTGAGCAGCTTCCGGGAAGTGCTGGGCCTGGGGTCTCCTCCTGACCCAGCTCAGGTGACAGCTGCTGCTCTGCGCCCGTCAGAGGGAAAGACCCATAAGTGGGTCCCCTCTCTCCTTCCCACCTACTGCTGCTCCCAGCCCTGCCCGGCCTCTTGTCTCACCTCTGCCTCTCACCCTCCAGCCTGTGCCCACTGACCTTCAACATCCCCAAGTGCCTGTTTCTTGTCTTCCAACATCTTTGGGGGTGAGGGGAGGCAGAGTGCAGTCCGCTTGGCATTTCCTGTAGAAAGCTGACTCCTAGAACCCAGTCTAGCATGCTGGTCCCACTCGGAAAGGAGCCCTCAAGACCACCCTTGTTAGGCGCCCCTCTCCCTGGGGGTACAGCTGCTTCCTCCTGCTCCCCACTTCCCAGCCTGGGTTGGGCCTGGCAGGGCCTGTGGCATCTCTGCTTCCCCTGCCCCACGGACAGATGTGCCTGGAGCAGCTGGTCCTGCCCAGCAGGGCAATGGTGTCGGGACTGAGACCTGGGGGCCTGTCCAAATGTGCACTGTCCCTGAACATTGCCTCTCCCAGCTGAGGCCACAAGAGGCACCTTCTTCCTCCCTCAGGTCAGACCCCCCTTTCAGCCTGGCTTTCTGAGACTCACTGTGTGACTTTGGGTGAGCCACTTAACCTCTCTGTGCTTTCGTTTCTTCGTTGGGGGCAATCAGCATTTCTTCCTCAGGTCTCTTGTGAAGACAGGAGCTCATCTGCTAAGCCCAGAGAACAGCCCTGGCTGGCCCAGTGTGTGTGAGCTGTCGGGATTTGTGTCATTTTGTGGGCCCATCTTTCTCCACAAGGGGCCAGCCAGTGGTTATAGTCATTTACTCGTCCAGATCAAACAAGGCTACTTTCAAAGCTTCTCTAGTGCTATAGAATCTCTGTTTCCTACTCCCAGAGCATGGCCCAGGGTCTGGCATGCCACAAGTGCTCAATAAATACTCACTAGAATGAATTCAGTACAAGGAAGTCACTGAAGTCAGGTGACCCTCTGCCTTGGGCCACCCAGGCTGGGCCCTGTAATCCCCTGGGGCCCAGGCCAGTCCATCCAGACTCCGGGGTGTGAGGTGTCAGCCCTTCACATAGCTGAGGAACCCTTGGAGGGCCTTTTCATCCCCTCCATTTGGAGTTGGAAAGCTGAGACCAGAGAGGGGATGTAACCTGTCCAAAGTCACACAGCCGATTGAGGACAGAAATCAGGCCTGGAGTCCTCCTCATGCAGTGAGTACTGACCGAGCCCCCACTGCAGGAGGGGGGCCCTGCCGGACCTGGCTTGTCAGCTATGAGCAAGGTCAGGGTCAGGGCAGTCACGTGGTGGAGGCAGGGCATGAATAAATAAACCGGGAGTGAGCCTGCGAGTTTCTGCTGGTGGAGTAAACTTAATCTGCGAAGGGGTAAGACCAGGTGAAGGGTTGAGTGTGACAGGCCTCTCTGAGGAGGTGACATTGTCGCTGAGATGCAGGTTCCAGGGAGGAGCCAGTCATGGGCGGACGTGGGGGGAGAGCAGTCAG